CTGCCCTGACCCTACTTCTCTCTTTTTTTTTTTTTCTTGCCTCGAGTTTATTTGTAAAAACAGCGTAGGACACTGGTCATCTGCAAATAGTGTGTGGGTAGGTGTGTCACGGCAGTCCATCTGTCTTCACGTTGGCAGAAGCCTTTTCTATGGGGCCTTCACAGGTGCCTGGGCACCTTTGGGAGCCTGGGCTGGAGCTGCAGCCTGGGCCTTAGCTGGAGCTTTGGCCTCTGCCTTGGTTTGAACCTTGGGCTTTGGTTGGCAGACCCTACGACCCTTGGCCATGTAGCTTCAAATCCACTTCTCAAGCTTGGGGTGAGCAATGAAAGCCAGGCGGCTGAGTTTGTGGCTGGGGCCCTTTGGCATCTTGGGCTTGATGGCCTGAGGCTTCACAAGGGCCTTGATGGCCTCTGCGCGTGCACTCACTGCCTTTGCATTGTTGGCCTGCATCTTCTTCAGGCCTTTCTCGTTGTGCTTCTTGGCAAAGCGCATGTTCCTCAAGAACTTGGGGTCAACCCCCTTAAGAGACTCATATCTTTGTGACCGGGGTTTCTTGATGCCATTTCTGTGCCATTTGCGGGACTGGTTGTGTGTGGTGTGGTTCTTGGACTTGGCCATGTCTGCACAGTAACCCGAGGCTTCGACCCTACTTCTCTTATCCACAGCCTTAACCATCTTCACCTTCCTTTCAGGGCCAAATCCCACATCTTGAAACTTCTCTGCATTTTGTTCCAGAGTCTCACTGTAAACGTAGCCATCCAGAACCATACCAGTAGCAGGCTGAATGTTGGTTGCTTTTCATTTTCTCTATTACCTTTGAATTCTACTTCACTCAAACTTTCAGGTCATGGGTAAAATGTAGATAAGTTCTTCGTCAGACTCCAGTGGCCTCTAGAGTCCAGTGTCCAGTGGAGTCTTTGTTCCTCCCTGAGACCACGTGGATGTGATCTTAGTTGTTCATATTGTTGTAGGTGTTCTGAGCCTCCGGAACAGTGGATCTGGAGCCTTAGAGTCCACATCGTTAAACTGTTGCAAATTCCTCTCACAAGCCAGTTTCAAAGGCTTGTAAACCACCTGGTAATATTAGCTGTCTGAACATTGCCATTTTACTGGGACCAGCTCTCTGCTTCTCACTTTTGCATTGTCCTGAGAGAAACAACTTGAAGAAAGAAAGACTCTTTCCAGCTCCTGGTTTTTCAAAGTCTATCCAGCAGTAGCAGCATGGAGTAGAGGCACCTCATGTCACTGAGGCAGGTCAGGAAAGAGCAAGGCCAGGGACTTTGTGTAACCTTCAAAGCCCACCCCCACCCAATTGCTTCCACTAGGCAGATCCCATTCTGAAAGGTTCCGCTGCTCTCCAAGTTAACACTGCCAGCTGGAGAACAAGCCTTCAAAACGTGAACCTATGGGATGTTTCAGATTCAGATTCGAACGAGTGGCCAGAACAGGTCTTAGAGAGGGACAGCTACGAGATTAGGGATGGCTCTTAGGTAGTAGCTTGAAGATCAGATAGGGGTGAGAGGCAGCTGTGGGGAGAGGAAGTTGGTCCCTCTCAGCGTTAGCTCATTGCCATCTCCTTGGTCAGTCTGTTCCGTGAGGCTTGATAGAGATACAGTCTGTGGCTCAGTGAGCATTGACGATGATAAAAGTCACCGGGCTACGCGTTGCTGCGGCTTGATCCAGTGGCATGATGCCTTGTCATATTATCTAATGACCTCTCTCTGCTTCGTGGCAGCAAAGTGTCTTACATGTGCATACAGCAGGGGACGGGGGGAGGATTGTTGCCGTTACAGTTATTGTCAGTAACATCCCTGTCACCACCCAGACGCTGACCTTTGGGGATATGATTTTCTATGGTCCTTCACTCTGTTGATTAAGGTTAGTTATGCCATGTTGATGGAAGCAGCTTGAACAAAATAGAAAGTGAGGTCTCTCTTGCACAAAAGGATAGTGCTGTCGAGGTAACTCTTCACAGTCAGGGAGTCAGGCTCGGTTGAACAGTCTTCCTGCCCTGTGGTCCTCAGCTGGATGAGCCACTGTCACCCGCCCCAAGAAGCTGCATGCCAAGCAGTGGGAAAGGGGGCAGCTTGGGGCTCGCTAACCCAGGAAGGACTCATTCCAGATGGTCATCACTATCACATCCTTTGATCAGAACTCAACCACCCTGCAGCCAAGGATGCTGGGAAACATGGCCTTTCACTGGGGCAGCCACTAGTTCAGCTGTGCATTTTCTGAATTCTGTATCGGGAGATGCTGGCAGCCTCTGCCTCTGATCCTGAGCCCAGGCATCTGGTCTTGCTTCAGGGGTCACTAAAGAAGGAGCATGGTGCCTGCAAGGATCCTGTGGCACATAGAGAAGTTGACATTTCTGCTGGCTTGGCACATTCCTTAAGGTTCTGAACAGGCACAGAGTGTCAGTCCACTCACTGATTAATGAAATGTGTGGTCACTTGGGAATGAGGCCTGATCTGTGAGTACTCGTCAATTTTAGACTTAGTTCTCATGGCTATGGTAGGCAGGACACTGTATAGCCGGGCTAGTAATGCCAGGATCTCAGCATGGGTTCTCCCAGCTCCGAACAGACTGGCAAAGTCATGAGACATGCCCCAGCCTTCCCTTCTCCTCCTTCCCAGTCCCGACTGACTGGAATGGGATGTGTCTGCAGTCTGTGGGGTGTGTGTGTGTGTGTGTGTGTGTGTGTGTGTGTGTGTGTGTGTGTAGTTGTGCAGTCATTCTAGAGTGAAGTGGCATTTGGCACTTTTTGAATCACTGTGACCAAATCCCTGGGAAGCAGCAATTTAAGAGAGGAAGGACAGATTTATTTTGGGTCAGTTTGAGACGGGCTTAGGATTGTCATGGTAAAGAGACATGAGGCTGCTGGTTATGTAATAGCCACAGTCTGGAAGGAGAGAGAGTATTGATTCTAGTTTGCTTTTTGTTATTGTGATAAAAACACCAAGCAGATCCAGCTTGGTGGGGAGGGGCTTATTCAGCTTACACTTCTACATCACATTCCATCACTTAGGAAGTCAGGCAGGAAGCTGGAAGCAGGAGCTGAAGCAGGGGCCATGGAGGAATGCTGCTTACTTGCTTGCTCCTCATGGCTTGCTCAGCCTGCTTTCTTATAGCATCTAGAAAGAACCACATGCTCAGGGGTGACATACCCCATGGTGGGCTGGGCCTTCTCTCAGCGGTCATTAATCAAGAAAATGCCCCCACAGATATGTCCACAGGCCAGTCTGGTCAGGTGGAACCAGTTGAGAGTCCCTCTTCCCAGGTGTCAAATGGACAAAAAAACTAACCCACATGGAGAGGAGAAGGGGGGGCAGGAAAAAGGGGAAGAGAGGAGTGCCAGGTGTCTCTTTTCAGTCTGTCCTTTTCATTCAGTCTGGGACCCCAGCCCATAGTGGGGTGCTGCTCACATTCAGGGTGGGTCTTCCTTGCTCAGCTAAGCTTCCCGGGACATGCTCTCACAGCCAAAGCTGTGTCTCCTCGATGATGTTGCATTGACAGTGATCTCTGTATTTACACTGAAGTCTTCCCGTGGTGTGTCTTTTGTGTCTGCCGAGATTCTTCACATAATGAAACATTTTGAACTTTCTCTTTCAAAGATTTTTTTTTTTTTAAGAAATAAAGTCTCACCGTGTAGCTCAGGTTGGCCAGCTGTCTCTACCTCAGTAGTACTGGTGTCAACAGACATGTGCCATCATTCTGGTGTGATGCTTTGTATATGCTCCGTCCAGAGAGTGGCAGGCACTATTAGAAGTTGTGGCCCTGTTGAAGTAGGTGTGTCACTGTGGGTGTGGGCTTTAAGACCCTCATCCTAGCTGTCTGGAAGTGAGTCTTCCACTAGCAGTCTTCAGATGAAGATGTAGAATTCTCAACTCTGCCTGCACCATGTCTGCCTAGACGCTGCCATGTTCCTGCCTTGATGATAATGAACTGAACCTCTGAACCTGTAAGCCAGCCCCAATTAAATGATGTCCTTATGAGACTTGCCTTGGTCATGGTGTATGTTCACAGCAGTAAAACTCTAAGACACATGGCTATCTCAAAGATTTTTTTCCTTCGGAATTCATAACTATTAACAGTTTAAAATAGAAAATAAAAAAAGATATGTACTAGAGAGAGAGAGAGAAAATAGCACGTGATACAATCGTTCATTCAGATACCAGTATACAACGTATTTTCTTCATCTCTGTGTCTGAGAAAATATGAACCCATCTATCTACTTCAGTTAATTGAGTTGGGATCTCACCACACACAGTGCTTTCTACTGAGCCCCTTTCACTGGGTGAAGGTTCCTGCAAACCTTTCTGTATTACTAAAAGATGATTCTAGGCACAAGGTGCAGCGCACGGCTGGAGCCGTGCCCTGGATGTCTAGCTGTGTCTGAGGCTTCATTATCACTTAGTGGTGTTTGCTCTGTTTCACACTGACAGTATCTTGGCTCCTGCTTACAGACACGGGATGCAGGTAAGGACCAGAGAGGCGGGGTTGCCTACTAGGACAGAAGAGGAGTGTGGGTGACATCCCTTGACTCAGCAGCACTGGGAGCAAAGAGTTCTTTGGGTTTTCTAATAAGACACTGTGGATGGTCCATGGTACCCACCCAGGGCAGGGCACACTGCTCTCTGTTCCTACACAGTGCCAAGTCCCATCCCCTACCCTCCCCAAGAACATTGCTGACCTTAAGTCCAAGTCCAAGGGAGTCTGTGGGAGCTTGGGATGCTGGAGGCAGGTGGGAACGTCTTCCTGTGCCCCATGCTCTCTCGCCCTTCTTGAGGGACTTTTCTCTCCCTCTGCATAGAACATTTTGTTTCCTTCTCTGAAAACAAAAACTTGATCTCAGCCATCATTTGCTCATGCCCCTTCCTCAGTGGAGGGACTTGACTTGAGTGTCCCCTCGGCAATCTGTGCCATTTCCTGGGGTCCCTGGCCTTTAGGCTCCTTTGTGTGATTCCTTTTCATGTTGACCTCTCTGTGCTGTTTTTTAACAGGCAACCATTGGGATTGACTTCTTGTCAAAAACCATGTACTTGGAAGACCGTACGGTGAGTTCCTGGTCTTAGAACTGGAGGACAAGGAGGGCGTTGTCAGGCTTGTCCCCTAGAGCCTTCACTTGGACACTCTCAGGAATCTCTGCCAAGATGAGGAGGGAGCTGGCAGGGGTCTGGGCCTCCGGCCCCCTCTCTCACTCCTCTGCTGATGCTTCTGTTCGGGCCCTGTAGGTTCGACTTCAGCTCTGGGACACTGCTGGGCAAGAGAGGTTCCGCAGCCTGATCCCCAGCTACATCCGGGACTCTACGGTGGCTGTGGTGGTGTATGACATCACTAGTAAGTAGGAGTCTGTGTTGGAATGAGGGGGCTTCTTGGGGCCCAGTGTGACCCTGACCAGACCTGTGTGTATGTGAATGTGTACATAGGCGTGTGCTCAGTGTGGGAGTAGTGAGTTATCTTGGACCATAGTGGATTAATTACTTCTGGATTCAGTCCTTCATACTCCTGTGACAGATAGGACTGTATAAGGCAGGGTTGGTCCTGCTCGGGGTATGGTCCCCCTGGGGTGAGAGTACTGGCAGATATTCACAAGGTTAACGCTCTGGGCTCTCCCTGGCCCTGGCTGACATGCATGTGCCAGCTCTCACAAAGCCTCCCTGTAGGCTGCCCCTCTTGTATGCATGGCTCTTGAAAGGGCTGTGCAGACTCAGTGAGGGCCCAGAGGCTGGGGCAGGCCTTATGCAGGGCCCAGCTACCTAGAAATCATCCAGAGTAAAGATTCTCAACTTGAGGTTGACACTTTTTTAGGATCAAATGACTCTTTCACAAGAATGGCATAACAGATACCCTGCATGTTTACATTACAATTCCTAACAGTAGCAAAGTGACAGGAATTTGTTGTGGGGCTGGAGAGATGGCTCAGCGGTAAAAGCAGTGACTGCTCTTCCAGAGGTGCTGAGTTCAATTCCCAGCAACCACATGGTGGCTCACAACCATCTGTAATGGGATCTGATGCCCTCTTCTGGTATGTCTGAAGACAGCTACAATGTACTCATATAAATAAAATAAATATTTTTTTAAAAAAATGAATTTGTTGTGTAGCAACAAAGTAAATTTATGTGTGGAGGTCGCCATAACATGAGCAGCTGTGTGGAAGAGTCGTAGCATTGGTGAGGTTGAGAACCATTGATCTAGAGGAACACACCTGGGAGGCCCCAGGCTCTACTCAGAGGATGCTGTGAGGACCCTGAAGTCACTGCTTAGGTCTGTCTTGGCCCTCTGTCTACCTCCTCCCTGAGCACGTGTTCCTTACACCCCCTAGTGAAGTCGGATCTGAGTCCTACAGGACCTGTGTCACAGGCTGGGGGGAGCAGGCACCTCCCCTCCTCTAAGTGCTGAGCTTGGATGTCTCTGAGGGAGAAGATACTGAATACAGGTGACTTGCTTCTGGATTGATATGCCTCTAGGGGGCGCTTTGTTTGTCCACCCTTGCCTGCAGGGTTGCAGGTTCTCTTCCCCAGCCAGCCTGGTCTTCCTCAGGCTCCTTTGAGCATCACTTTGGTGAGACACCATTTCCTAGGGGCCTCCATGTTCTCCCTTCACAGGTCCACGGCTCAGTCAGGCCCATGACCTTCCTTTCCTCCCTCTGCTATGAGCCTCAAATCAGCTCTGACTCTTGGGTGGCCTCCAGAGTCACTGTTCTGTGAAGAAGTTGTGACAGCCTACCTTCCCAGGTTCGGTGACTTCTCTCCCTAGGGTGGCTGAGCAGTACTGGAGGCTCTCCAGGATCACAGGGCAGGACTCCGGCTTGCCTTCTGACCCCTCAGGGGCCCTCATTCCCACTCTGTCCCCACTTTCTGCCTCCAGATCTCAACTCCTTCCAGCAGACTTCTAAATGGATTGATGACGTCAGGACAGAGAGGGGCAGTGACGTGATCATCATGCTTGTGGGCAACAAGACGGATCTGGCTGACAAGAGGTAGGCAAGCACCAGAGCGTGGAGATTCTGTGACTAGCTGGACCATACTTCCTCACCCCTCTGTGGCTGTTCCTGCCCTGGAGGTCTGGTCTCCACGTACAGGGACACCGACATGCCCATTAGCTGAAAGCTATGTCTTCTTCAGTTCAGCAAAGGCAAGGCAGGGGCCTGTCTGTACAGGTGTTCCCATCATGTTCCCAAAGTAGCCGCTGACACAGTTTCTATCCCTGTGAAACCCTGGCATTGACATGTGAGGTGTGAAACCCAGGTCCTCAGGTATGAGTCTGAAGAACACCAGCAGAGCACAGACCTTGTCCGCAGTCCGTGCCTCCTGGTTTATGGCTGTGTCTGGGCATGGAGTGTTTTTGGAAAAGGTTTTTCCACATCTGTCCTCCAATGTCCCCACCTGCTAAGATGTCCTTTACATATGTGTCCACTCTTGGAACCCTGTGCTAACTTCAACAGAAAAGCTGTGTGTCACGGTTTCTAATATAACATGTGTGACTTCTTGCTGTATCCCTGCCAATTGAGAAATAGTTCATGTTAGCACTCTTTCCAGAGGGGAGGGAAATGGTCTCCTCTAGAGAGCAGCTTGGGGCTAGGACAGCTACTATTAACTTTAGTATTTGCCTTAGGAGAGGGTGGCTGAGGATTCACTCCCATAAAGGCTGCATGTGTCCAGGATATCCTGTTCTAATGACTACTGAGAAAGCCATGGGGTGTGGCTCACTTGTAGAATGCTTGCCTTTCCAAGCATGAAGCCCTGGGTTCAGTCCCCAGCACTCGTAAAACCAGACTTGGTGGCATATCCCTACGGTCCCTGTTCTAGGGAGGTACACACAGGAGGATCAGAAGTTTAGTGTCATTCTGTTTTATCACAAATCCAAGGCCAGCCTGGGCTACATATGACCCTGCCTTAAAAGGTAGGGGTTAACCTTGCTCCCTAGTTCAGGAGATATGGAAAAATGTGGAAAACACTTGGGGTCCTCTGTGCCCAGGTGCCACTTTCTTACTAGACAGACTATGGCAGGCACCCTGGCAAGGACCCCTGGGCAGCAAGCCTGTCTTCAAGGCTGACCGATGGACCTGGCAGGCTCCTCCTGCCTTGCCCACAGTCCTTTCTCTCAGGCTGCCTCCTCCACTTCTGCCAGGGGCTGCCTCTCTACCACCTGATTTCCCCTCTCCCCTTCATTTCCAGGCAGATAACCATCGAGGAAGGGGAACAGCGGGCCAAAGAACTGAGTGTCATGTTCATTGAGACCAGCGCGAAGACCGGCTACAACGTGAAGCAGGTGAGAACACACCTGCCTTGCTCGGGTCTGGAAGCCCTCACCCGGGGCCTTCCTTGCTCTGTGTGGGCTAGTGACTAGGATGGGGCAGTCAGCTAGTGCATAAACCTATATAGCTCTGGGCAGTGGGGGATGGCGCTGACTTCCAGCACTGATAATAAAGCTGGTGGCGTGGAAGGGGGCACTCAACTTGGGAGCTGTGCAGACCCTGTCAGTGACTAGTCTCCTCAGCCATCATTGTGTGAATGAAGGTCCAGCATGGACTTCCGCCTGGCTGAGGAAGCTGTGGTTTGTAGCATCTCACTTCACTTCAGATGCAAATGCAAGGTGTTGAATCTGATCGACACGTTGGATTTATGTCTTGTGCTTGGCAAGAACTGGGGCCGTGAAGGGTAGCTCAGAAATGGAGCACAGAGACTCCCTTGGAATTTGAGAATCACAGGAGAGAGCAGAGGTGCGGCTGAAATCCACAGGACCAAAGTAGTTGGTGGGCAGAGCTTATCAGCTCAGCCAACTTGGGCTTCAGAAAATCCCACACGTAGTGTGATGGCTCCCTCATCTGTAGCCTGATTCTCAGTGATGGACGTAGACAACCAACCTTAACGTTGACGGTGAGTGCCGTAATTGTCCCACTGACAGAACTTCACGGTATGACAGGTGTCCCAAACTTCACAGTACTGGACCTCAGCATCCCACTAGCCGTTAGACCACCTCTGATCCTGATGTCAGCATGGCACAGATTTATGATCCTTAAATATTTGGCACATTTCATTCAGAAGCAAACAGTTTCCTTTATGATCTGTATAACTTGACTACATCTGAAAACGAGTCCACTGGCTTCAGCAGACTGTGAGAGGAGTCATGGCTCTAGCAAGGCGAAGAAACCATATCTTGGAGCAGGAGGAGGGTGGTGGCAAGGTGGAAGGACATCCTAGGCAGGGCTGATGGGAGTAGACCCTGGCAGCAGGGTGCCTGCAGCACAGGAGGGGACCCTAAGTAAAGAACGTAGCTTGATGCCATGTCTGCTGTGGCCCTAGACTTCCCAGGACCACCAGGCACACCTGGGCACCACTTGGCTTTTCTGGTGATGGTTCATGTCGTGTGGATAGTACTGAGATTAAGGTTGATAAAGGATCCAGAAGGGACAAAATGGGAGGGGCACTGTGGCCACATTAGGGAAACCATGCAGCTTCTGGAACCCAGTGCCCAATTGGAGGCCCTCAGCTCCATTCACCCCAGCCCTTCCCTGGCCTAATATCAGATGTTAGCCTAACCACCCCTGAGGGTCTCTCAGGGAGGAGGAAAAGGAGGCGGGAGAGGGGGAGGCTGCTGCTCTTTGGGTCCAGTGACATCATGGGAAATGGAAGCTGAGGACAATATCAGGCATCATAGAGCAGGAGGCGTCTACAACCTGCTGGGTCAAGGAGACGCTGGTCCCTTTCCCCATCCTGGAATGATCTAGAATCTGAGCAAGCGTTTGAGCAGGAGTTAAATCTGGTCAGTTTGTGCTGCTATCACAAATTACTACAGGCTATGTAGCTCATAGATAACAGAAAATTATTTCTCCCTGCTCTGAAGGCTGCAGAATCCAAGATGGAGGTGCTGGGAGGGTCAGTGTCTTTCGGACTCTGTTCCCTCGTATTTGGCACCTTCCAGTTGTTTCCTCATATGAAAGGAACTCAAAGGCTTCCTCAGCTTCTCTGTAAAGGCCTTAGTCTCTGTCAGCTCCTTCAGGCAACACCTCCTTACACCACCTTGCTGGGAGTTTGTTTATTTTTTGTTGTTGTTTTTATTTGTTTGTTTTTGGTTTGTTTGTTTAGTCGGGTTTTTTTTTTGTTTTTGTTTTTTTGAGACAGAGTTTCTCTGTGTAGCCCTGGCTGTCCTGGAAATTACTCTGTAGACCAGGGTGGCCTCAAACTCACAGAGTGCTGGTATTAGAGGCATATACCACCACTGCCTGGCCAGGAGTTAAGTTTTAACTTATGAACTTATGGAAGACCCAGACATCCAGCCCAGCCCAGAATCTTCTGTGCTCCCGGCTTCTGCCTGTACTTGTTACTTTCAAGATGTTACCTCTGCCAGTGTCCACCTGTTAGGTACCCCTGATGTCTCCTGTTCTCATGCATATCACTTAGGTAGACGTACACGTGGACCCACATGCTATGTGCTTGCTTCTCTCACACTCACTTTCTCATATACACGCAGAAACATGACATTTACAGTAACACACATATCCCTGTAGCCTAGATTATTTCTGTACCAGGACAGGTCCCTTCTGTCACTCTCATGACCCCTGCTGACTGCCTGTGGGCCAGCCTGCCTCTAGGAGGAGCCCCAGCTTTGCTGTGTGTGCAGGCGTGTCGTGTGTGTGTGTGTGTGTGTGTGTGTGTGTGTACATGTATTTGTGTGCAGGTGTGTGTGGGCATGCATGTGTTTACACCTGTGGAGGTCACAAGTTTACCTCCGGTGTCACTCCTCAGGTGTCACTCAACCACCTTGTACTTAGAGACAGGGTCCTTGATTTTACCTGGAGTGTACAGCTAGCCAATGAGCCCTGGAAACCTGTCTCTGTCACTCGGTCACTAGGATTACAAGTGCCTGCAGCTACACCCAGCATTTTATGTGGATTCTGGGTCCTCATGCTTGTGTGGCAAACACTTTATTGACAGACTGTCTCCCTAGCCTCCTGGTCCCTCTTCCTATAAACATCCCGAGACTCACCAGAACCAGCATTGCGGGGGGGCGATGCCAACGGCAGAGGACTTAAAACAGGCCTGCACTCGGGAGCAGTCAGTGGACAGACAGGCTATCAGTCCTCAGGATCTGTACACCTGAGACCGGGCGGGGGTCGGGGGAGGACTGGGCAGGCCTCACCCTGCATGTCCTGCCTGCAGCTCTTTCGACGTGTGGCATCAGCTCTGCCCGGCATGGAGAATGTCCAGGAGAAGAGCAAAGAAGGGAGTATCCTTTTCCTTTGTCGTGTGAGTGAAAAGATGGTTCCCCAAGCCCATGAGTCACTTGGTTCAGTAAGCAGATGAGGACCACCTGGCCTCCTCCGGCACAGCCCTCCCTGGACTGATACAGATAGCCAGGTCGCCTCATTCAGTAGCCAGATGGGCTGCATGTTCTCTGAGCTCCCAACCATGTCTAACCAAGGCCACCTCTTCTTTCCTAGCAGTGAGGAGAGACCAGGGCTGTGCAGCAGTGGTGTGTGGGGTGGGGGTGGATAGTGGCTCTGCATGGCTTTCTAGTGAACACTCCGTGTGTTTCCTGAGTCCACTGGCGATCCCGGGCAAGGAAGCATCCATGCAGTGAGCATTTGATTTCCAGCTGTCAATGCTTCTCCATCTCCCACTGCTCTGTGGGAAAAGCTTGTCCAACACTCACACAGTATAACTGAAAACCTAGCTTACGCCAAGATGCTGAATCTAACATTGGAAGAGGTAGATTGGTTTACTTCAAGGTGCATTGTATATAACTTAGGGAATTAGCCTTTACACTGAGGCTTCCTTCATATCTATCCCTGCTCCGTTCTGGAGTGTTGTCTCTCAGCAGACCCTGCGAGGCTAAGATGAGCAGCACTGTAGGTGGGTGAGCACATTGCCCACAAGCAGGCTTCCTTTGAAGTCCATCAGACAGATGGCCTGAGCAAAAACCCACCTGCAGAGTCAAGAAAGGGGACCAATGGGAAGCCAAGAGGTATAGTGACCCTGTGCCCACCATGAGGGACCGATAGCCTGCGTTTATCATGCCCACCCCAAAGGCAAAGCTGACATATTAGCATGCATGGTGGGAGTTCAGTCATATTCTCCCAGAGACCCGGGTGGGACTCCATGCTGAATTAACAGTCAGGTCCCACAGGCTCCCACGTCATCATGAAAAGTAGCGTAGCATCCTAATGGACCTAGCATCTCGCCCAGCTTTAGGGAGAAGAGTGCTGAGCAGATAACAAGCAGATCACACAGGGCAATCTGTTTGCCCAGCTGCGGGGTGTCCCCATCTGGCAGATGCAGCCATCTGTACCACTCCCAGGTGCTCAGTGGCTGGAGCCTCCTATGAGGCAAGACTAGAACAGCCTGGAACAGACTCTAGACAGCCCAGCAGGGACTACGTGGAAGCAGCTGCCACCTCAGCTCAGTGCTGAGCTAGCACTTCTGTTGACTGATGCTTCAAACCCAGATGTTCGTGTTCTAAGGGTCATGCTTGGGGTTGCATCAACATAAGGGACAAGCGCACGGAAGTGCTGCTTGGTGATAATATGTAATGGTTCTCGTATGGCTTTACTCCCTGGACTGGTGTGAGTGTGTGTCGGGGGGTGGCTCTGTGGGAGCAGAGCTTCTGTCTTCTGCTTCCAGGTCCCCAGAGAGCTTCTGCACTTCACAGGAAGCTTCCCCAGGGCCATTCTAGCAGGTTCCCTCACTGTCCCACCCCCAGCACTTCATCTCTGGACAGAGTTGGGCTAAGGCACCACAGAAAGATAGGGCCACAGTCATTTGCTGTGTCCACGAACACAGGGCTCTCCTTTCTGGAACAAGGGTTGTGTGTGCCAAATAATGACAGTAACAATAACTAATAGGTTTCTCTGCCAAAGAAACGAACCAATTCAAGCCAAATCAAAAGTATAAAGGCAGGTTTATTGAGAGGTGGCGTCCGGTGAGTCACGACTGGAGGTCAGTGAAGTTGCCTGCCCAGGCTAAAGCAAGGGGGTCATGTGAGTTTCAGGTACAGGGTGATGATGTGTGAGGTGTAGGAGCTGGGATTGTGCCCGTATAAGGTAAAAGAGCTTACGTGGGCACTCATGGGTGCGAGGCCGGAAACGGAGACAGGGATAGATGATGTGTTAGCCTGGAATTTTCCTCTTGCAGGCTGGGTTGGGGGAAGAACAAATGGGGTTTCTTAGCTTGTGCAAGGTATAAGCAGGGGTTCCAACCAAACGTCCTGACCTCTTTGGGTAGAAGGGCACCAATTCGGAGCTGGCTACTTCCTGCTGAAGAGGGAGAGTCAGGAGTCGGTGGGTCCGAGTTTAGTGGGAGGTATGAGTGCTGAAACATTTGGTTGACAGTTACTCGGGAAACTTCGAGAATCCATTCCCAGAGAAAGCAGAGGACGCAAGGTGCTGGGAGAAAAAAAATAGATTAAGCCCACCAACCCTATGAACAGGGCTAGCCATGTCCAGAGTGAAGATTGCCAGAAAGAATAAAAAGGAGACGTGCCCTGCTTGTCTTGGCAGAGTTCTTCAGGTGACCACATGTTATCCTCCACTAGGCCAGATTTGTTGACATAACAACATTCTTCACCCATGAACATACAGGTGCCTCCCTCGTCTGCTCTGAGGAGGACCAGTGCTCTTCAGTTTTTTGTGGCCACCTGGGCCACCGAAGTGATCTGATGCTGGAAGGGGTCAGGGGACAATGACGCCACCTTGATGGCCTTTTGGAGACAGACAGACACGTCTGTGATCTCAGCCACCTGTATCCCATGGCACCTGTAGTTACGGCAGTTGCTATTGTCGAGGCCACAGCAGCAATGCCTGTTAATACTGTGATCTGTCTGGGCAAAGGCCACCCGAGATTGGAAAGAGCTGATAGGGAAGGAGAGTGTGGCTGTTTCAGCCTTTCCATAAAGCATCGGTCTGGTACCAGTGTCATTGGGATACATAGAGAGGAAGGATCACCAGGAGGCAAGTGTTCTGATATAGAGCTGTTGCAGCAGAAGAATCCTCCCGCGTGTGCCCAGGCAGATACCAAAGCTGTGTTAGTAGTACTGCAAAGGGAGCAGGGTCCAGAGTATCAGAAAGGGAAGTGAGTGTCCGGAGAGCTCCGGAAGAGGGGTACATGTTGTATAATGATAGCCTTTAGTTGGAGGGTCAGCCCTTGGCCTCATGAAGGGACAGGCAAGGACACTGAGATCAGAGAAGTGGGACCCAGGACAGCCCAGAGAAAGTGGTTGTTACGGTTGAAGGCTTTAGAGAGGTTAAGTAGGGTTGCTCCCTCCTGGATGAGGCCCAGCCTGGAGAAAGTTTCTTTTCTTTTCTTTTCTTTTCTTTTCTTTTCTTTTCTTTTCTTTTCTTTTCTTTTTTAGTTTTTACTTGCGGTTGGGAGAAGTCTCTCAGGTGTGATTGGAGGGACTCCTGTTGTTGTGTGGTCTTGGTGAGGTTTGTCAGCTCTGGAGGGAAGAGGGCTGGGTCTGGATGTAGGGTCACCAGATTTCTGTTTGTTCACACGGGTTTGAAGATGTTTTACTCTGATAGACTTTGCCTGTTACCCCGAGCCCAGCGGTCACTCCAAGGATCTCAGATGCTAATGCAGTGCTGTGGTATAGTGGGAATATCCAGCCACTGGACAGGCCCGTCCTTGTCCATGTACACCAGCAGCTTTTCTGTTTGTACCACCCTGGGATGTTTGTTTTACAAGGACCCCATGAGCAACCCCCTTTGGGTACGATAGGCTTCCTCTATCTGGTTGTGGGTAAAGCATAGCATAGAGGAGCAATACTCCCTGTGCATTTTAAAAAAAGATACTGGGGTGGGGATGCCATCTTGCATCCCTTAGAGGGACAGCGGGCTTGGCCCATGTTGTCATTGTGGGTCTCAGCAGCTCAATCACTGAACATGAAAGCGTCAGCAGTATGTTGGAGATGACTTGGTCTCACCTAGCTGTTCAACCTGGCAGGGAAGTCGCGGTGTCTGGCATCTTGGGCTGGGGCCTTTTTGAGCCTAGATAGATGGTACCAACACTGACCTCTTATGAGTTTGGCAGCTGAGGGAGTGGTGATTACTGTGTAGAGTCTGATCCACCAGGGCTCTAAAGATTTAGAGATAGTTGTTTGAGAAGCACCGGGTCCCCCTACCCCAGGGAAGGGGGAGGGGTGGGCAACGACTGAGTCTGCTGAAGTTGAGGTAGGGAGATAGTTGTCAGTGTGTGAGCTGATAAGGGAGGACGGAAGGGATAGGGTAAGTAGCTGGCCAATGAGGGAGTCTGAATCAGCGGATGGTAGTTGAGGAGAAACAGCCTTCTGTACAGGAGCTCAAGAGGGCTGAGGCCCGTAGGAGAACGTGGGTAGCTCAGAGGCAGGTGAGAGCACTGAGGAGAAGGGAAGACCAGAGTAACGTGAGCTCGGGTGAGGGTTTTGTGAATTATTTGATAAGGCCATTGGCTCTCTCTACCTTTTTCAATGGCTGTAGGTGGTATGGAATGTGAAATTTTCAGGAGACATTCAAGGCATCCTTGGCATGCAAAACCAAGGAATGATATGTTCAAGGAGCTTCTGGGCCGTCACACCTGCTGTTCCCCCGGAGGTGGGGAGCAATTGGATTCACCCTGTAAAAATGTCAACAAGGGTTAGGAGATTGCAGAGTCTTTGTGGGTGGGCATGTGTGTGAAGTGAGTTTGCCAGTCTCGTCATAGTTGGTGTCTGTGGAGCTGGTGCAGGGCCTGGCATATCTGGAGAGCCCCCTGCGAGTTTGTCTGGGCACATGTTTGACCAGAAGCATGGACCTGTAAAATATGTGCCCGGAGGTTGGTGGGGTCAGCGGGGGCTCTAGAATGGGAACAGAGCCTTGGGTCAGATGTAAAAGGCGATGGAAGGTGCCAATTTGGGGGAAGGATAAGGCTGTTATTTAGGTAAAGCCATCCACCTTTTTTCTGTGTGGTTCCTTTGTTAAAGAATCTGGTTTTGTTTTTTCCTTCAGCTGGTACTGAGGTTTGTAGAAAGATGTTAGGAAGAGGATATGGCCCATGAGTCTATAGGAGCTAGACGCCAGACCTCAGGCCACTGAGTCAGCCCTGGCATTGTCCAGAGGCTCTGGATCCGTAGAGGTCTGCACTTACCTCCGCACTGAATTATGACCACCTCTGCAGAGAGTTGGAGGGCTCCGAGAGCTTGGCTATAAGGGAACCACTGACAACAGGAGTACCCATGGTAGCGAGGAAATCCCTTTCCTTCCATAGAACAGAGGGGCT